ACAGCCCTGTGTCTTGGCAGGAGTGTGGTCCTCTGGAGTCAGAGGCCATGGTGATGGGTGTCCTGAACGAGGCCTTTGATGTCCTGGTGCTGAAGTTTGGAGTCCAGAAGCGCATCTACTGCAATGTAAGTACCTCGCCAGTGTGAGATGGCACCAATGCTGCCTCACCAGAGGGCTGCAGCAGCCTGGCATCGTTGGAGGCAGCGGCTGTCCTGGTGCCCTTCTGTGCCAGTTCTGCAGCCAGTAGAGCTGTGCCTGAGCCGGGCTAGCCAGAAGGGAGGGAGCCTTCATGGGGTCTCCCCTCCATCCCGCAGCCCCAGGCAGACACGAGGGGCTGGGGGGGCTCTGGAGCAGCCCAGTCTCTGAGGATCAGCTTCTCCCTGCTACATACTGCAGGTGATCCAGTCCAGGTAAAAGGGAATAAAGACAGATTCAGGGGGACAGAGATCAACGTGGAGCTGAGGCAAGGAAAAGGAGCCAGGCTGGTTTTCATTTCATGTAATCAGACAGTATATCTGGGGCTGTGACAGCACCAGTGTAGGCCAGCACCTGTGGTTAGTGACAGCATCTTCTCTTAATAACCTGGTTATATGGCTGGCAATGACATCTTTAAACAGGACATATAGCATGATATATGGTCTGTTTGTGTATCACAGCAGCCCCTGATTTACGTGCTAGGCTCAGGCTCACAGGCTGCTGCATCCCGGTTGTTAAAGAGCTGCAGAGGCAGCGTGCCGGGCAAAAGCAGCGTCGTCCCCATCTGCAGGCAAAGCGGAGGGGGAGAGCGGAGCGAGGGGATGCTGTCAGGACTGTAAGCCATTACCAGCACTCTCCCTGCCTGCAGGCGCTGCCCTTGCTGGGCTTCCACTTCCAGAAGGTGGGGAGGAAGCCAGAGCTGACGCTCATGTGGGAGCCAGAGAAGCCAGAGCAGGAATCTGTGCCCCAGGTAAGACCCTGCAGTGTGGGACAGGCTCACACCACCATGGGGCTGCTGTGTGCAACATAGGGATCCTGTGGTCTCCACAGGGACAGGTCCAAGAGGCAGGACTGCCTCACAGGCTGTCAGGTCCTGCTGTCCCTCTGTGTCCCCTCCCCAGCGAGCCAGACCTCAGCCTCAGCCTCCTCTGTCATCCAGCCCTGCTCCATCCCATCGCTGCCCCTGCGTCTGACCCCTCCACAGCCTTCAGACTCTGCCCTGCCTGCTGTGTGTCCTGCCTCCCGATTCAGTTTCCTCCAGGAATTGAATTAACATGCTGTTTACTTCCTTCTTCCAGATCATCAATTAAGATGTTAAGTAAGATCAGGCCTAAATGAGCGCCTGTCTAGACCCTTCCCCCCACCCTGGCATTCCTTGCCCCCTCACTGGCACGGCCCTTCGTTTGAGTTTCCATCCCTGTAACAGGGTTGAGACCCAATTAGGAGAAATTTTTTTAACTCAGACTTCCTGAGATGCAGTGTCAAATGGTTTAACGGCATCTAGAAATCTCTCTCTTGTGTCCCTGTCATCTATTAACTTGGTAACTCAATCAAAGGGAGCAATCGCATTTGTCTGGCTTGATTAAGTGGTGCTTCTTTGCCAACTTTTGTCTGGCGTTGCTATAAAATCACAGCTGTGTTGACTACTGTGATCCCTGCCTGCTGCCTGGGTGGGGACAGGAGGGCTGAAGCCCCACCTCTCCCTGCACTGCTCTGGGGGCTCTGCACTTGAACCCCATTTCCAACCAAGCCCAGCACAACCCGTCCTTGCCCGCCTAGAGCCGGGTGAAAAGCACTCCCAGCTGGTGTGGTGCATGTCCTGGGGAGTCCTTTCCTTCCCAGGGGAGGTGTGGTCAGAGCCAACCGAGCTCCCTGGCTGCTGCAAGCGTTTCTGCAGGCCTCCCTGCCTTTGAAGCTGAGCTTTCCTTTCTCAGCTTGGCTCAGAGAAGCCCCCTGGACGTGACCAGAAGTGGCCTCAGTTCCTCCTTTCCTACAGGAGCGAGTATCACTTACACCCTAGCAGGGACCCGCATGAAAAATTACACCCCAGCATGATCAAGGCCCATTTTGGTTAAGCAAACACTCAGCAGTAGAGGAAACTCTTCCACAAACCCTCCACACCTCCTAAGAAAACACCAGAGCCCTCCCCTGGGAGCAGGCTCTGAGCTGTCCTCCGAGCCAGCAGATCCCCAAGTTGATAAATCTCCAGCCCCAGGATGAGCTGGATCCCCAGGAGCCGTGCTGAACCACGGGAGATGTCACCCGGACACCCCACAGCACCGAGCACCCCCAGGTCCCCACCCGGCCCCGGCGCTTGGCCTCTGCTCCCCAGTTTGGCTCAGCCTGACCAGGCAGTGGGAACATCAGGGAAGGCTGTTTGTGGGAAGCTATTCAGGGGTCTGGGCTGGCTGGCCCTGCCACAGAAGGGAGGTGGTCCCAGCATCTCTCCCTGGGCACCAGGAGATGGCCAGGACCTCAGCGGGCATTACTCAGGGCTTGAGTATGAAGTGAATCTAAGACTTGGGGAATTGGATGTGAAATCACGCCGTTCCCTGATGGTTCAGCAAAGGGATGAGGCAGGACTGCAAGGGAGAGCCCTGATAATCCCCCCATTTGGCTCCCCCAGACGTGGGGGTCTGCCCCATGGCCACTGCCCCCCAGACTCCTGCCAGCTGGAGCGGGCAGGGGGCTGGTGCTGGGTAGCCAGCAGCTATCTGGGCAGCCGTCTGCAAAAGGATTTCCCTGCTGTTTACTCCTCTCTGGCCACTTTGATACGTTTAAGTCTCAATGAGATTTCCCTGCTCTGAATGATTAATGTGGAGCGGCCGGCGCTGGATGAGCTGGGAAGGGTTTGACAAGGTTACGGCAGTGGCTCTGTGCCCGCTCCTCCCGCAGGCCAGCCCCGAGCAGATGGCCCCATCAAGCCCTGCCACAGCACAAGGCTTGGGGACGGGCTCTGGCAAGCGAAGTCCCCAAATGCCTGGCCATGGCCCCGAGGCAGCCCCTTCCCAGTGTCCCAGCCAGCCCGTTAACCGTGCCTTGGTGCTTTACGCTTCTAATCCGCACAATTGCATGAAGAGATGGAGTCAGAGGACCGGGGAGGCAGCAGCAGGCAGCAGTGCATTCCTGAACAGGAGGGATTGATTTTCTGGGGTCTGTATTCCCTTGCGTCTCTCTCATCCATTGTGCTCCCTTCCCAGGTCTCCTCTCGCTGTGGGGGCACGGGGAGGGGGCCATTCCCTCCTTGCAGGATGCTGAGAAAATGATCAGCATCGTGTAGAAAACCCTCCTCGCCACAGCCCACCATTGGCACTTGGCCAAGTTGCTTCATTAAGGGATGATGTGTGTTCTCCAGCTGGAGAAGGGAGACACGGGCAGGCTTTAGTGGAGGTTGGGACCCAAAGCCGAGGGCACAATCGCCCCCGCTCCTTCCCGGACTGTGCGGAGAACAAGACTGGGGCCTGATCAGGCTGGAATAAGTGAGGATGTTTGGGGCAGCTCGTTTAGGTCAGTTTGGGTTCCCTGCCGGGCTTCACAGCTCAGTGGTGTTGCCCTTGAAGATGCTGCATCCAGCCCCGGCCCCAGGAGCACCCTGGACCCCGGCAGAGCTATCTGACGCCGTCCTGCCCCATTCCCTGGCTCCCGATGGGTGCTGTAGCAGAGCCAGCAAAAGGCCAGCGCGGCTCTAAGCCAATCCTGGTGTGATGCCAAACCACCTGAAAAACCCCTCTTCTCTCCATCTTTCTCTCCACTGCTGAAGGTGATCACCATTTTCACGCTGGTGGAGGTCGTGCTGACGTCGGACGGTGTCCCGCTCAAGTACAGCGCCCTGCTCAAGAGACCGAGCTCGGAGAAGTGAGCGCCCCAGGCTGTGCCTGCTCCCCCCTGCCAGCGCTTGCCCACCTCCCAGGCCCTGCACCGGCACCCGCCGGGGACGGAGGGAACCCACGCGGAATTCGGGGTTTTAAAACCAGTGCCATTTTATTTCTGGTTTGGATTTTAACTCTGGCTGGGAGCAGGGCTCAGGGCTTGAGCCTGCCCCAGGCAGACCATTTCTACTCAGATATTTTAAGCTTGATGCTTTCTTTTTCTCTTTTTTTAAGGAAGTCGTTCCCATCCCCAGCCACCTCAGGTGCCCGTGGTGAGGGCCGAGTGGGGACGCGTGTCCCCAGGAGCGGAGAGGGGCTGGCTCCACCATCCCAGGTGGGATGTGGTGGGATGAAGTGGGATGCGGCCGTGGGGCCATGCAGGAGGGTTTCTTGCAGGGTTGTGTGTCATGTAATAAAAGATGGGTCAGCAGCTGAGTCAGGGGCTCACACAGGTTTTATTTTGTCTCCTCTGCGTTCCCCTGGCTGGGAATCCCAGCAATAACTCATCTCCTGGGCAGCCCCGTGCCTTCCCCTTCCTGCAGCTTCACAGGAATTGTGAAATGCAAGCGGCCTCCCTCCTCCCCCAGCCCCAAGATGTGCTCAGCTGAAGGCTGTGGGGGATCGGGTGGACATTCGCTCCCAGCTCCCGCTCCAGTGACCAATCCCTCAGTCCGAGCCTTCACCAGGAGTCACCAGGTGGCTGCTCCAGCCCCTCACACCCTGACCTCCAGCCTAACCTTGCTCGGGGACCCTGTAGCACCATGTCCTTGCTTCTCCCTGCCACTCCAGAGATCATCCAGCCCCTCTCAGACCAACCAGTCCCCCTGCAGCCTCCAGGCACCTCTGCCCGCTCCCCATCCCCATGTCCCCCCAGCCATGATGTGCAGGGTGTCTCCAGGGGCATGGGCTGCTCCGGCAGCCTCCACTTCATCATCCCTGCAGGGACGGGCAGCCACAAGTGGCGGCTGATGGAGGGATTGATGTCTGGCAAGAAGGAGTGGATCCATGGTGCCAGGCAGGGAGGGGGCCCTGCTTCTCTCTGCCTCATCGGTGATGACAGATGTGGCCTTGGCACGGACACATCTGCCCTTGGCAGGTGTCAGGAGCTGGCCAAGCCCGGGCTGCCCGGCTCGGGATGGGGGATCGGGGCCTGGGATGGGTCAGGGCTGGGCACAACACGCTCCCCAGGAGCTGGCAAGCCGTGAAAGCCGTCGGGGTCACCTGCAGTCCCCAGGGGTTGTGCTGCTGGCGGTGTCCTTCCAGGTGGCCTGGTGCAACCACGCGTGGATGCCACCTCGGGAGTGGGAGCGGGTGGGAGCAGCCTGTTCCACCTTGGATCTCCAGCTCCTCGCCGGGTACTGGTGACGTGGGGCTGTTCCCCACCTGCAGCAGACACCTCGTGCAGGTGTGCTGGCATGGGCTGCCCTGGTGTGCCCAGTGTGGGACTGTATCCCCTGGGAGAAGGGACCTGAGGACAGTGACACCAAAGGCAACATGTTCTCCCCCTACCCCTCAGCACTGTGTTCCCCTTCTCAGGTTTGTCTCAGCGGAAACAAGGCCAATCCAGCCCAGCCCCGCTCAGCCTGTCTGCAAAAATAGCACTTTGCCCTGTGCTCTCCGTGCTGCTCCTCGGGGTCCCAGAGGCAGCCGCCCCATGGGAGCTGGGGGCCATGAGGTGCCCTGGTCCTCAGGGACGGGTTAGAAGTCCTCCCTCGCTAGTGGGGGGCAGGGATGGCCCCAGGGGGGGCTGGGGATACTGGAAGGGCGCTGGGCAGGGCTGGGAGATAGTCTCTGAATGTTATCAGCCCATCGTCTCACCTGGCGGGGCTCAGCCCTCTGGCGGGACAGGGAAGGGCCATAAAGGACTGTGTGTCCCCCCTCCCCGCTCCCGCCCTGGACACAGGCGACATTCAGGGAGGGAGCTGAGGTGGGCAGCATGGGGTGGCCACTCTCCCTTGGAACCTGCCTTCTCCTCTGCCTCCTCGCCCGGCTCGCCGCTGCAGCCTCAGGTGACAGGGGACGTATGGGACAGGGAGGGTGGGGGACCCCTTGGTGAGGGACACGGGGTCTGGTGCCACTTCCCTGGGGGCCTCTGGGGGCCCTGTCGCCTCCCCATGGGATACCAGCAAAGCCAAACCCTCCCGGCCACCTCAAGGTGGTTTGAGACCCCAATCTTTGAATGGGTTTGTCTCAGTCCCTCCCCTGGCCCGTGGCCCCCTCATCCCCTGGCAGTGGCTTTGGATCAAGTGGCTCGATAGCCCCAGCTGGCCACGGTTGCGTGGGCATGGCACACTCGCCACAGGAGGGGCTGATGCGCGGGCACCTCATCCCCTCTGCCGAAAGGCACAAGGAACTTCCCTGCCAAACTCTGCCTCAAGTTTCCCCCTCTGCAGTCAGGCTCTGGATAATGCTGGGATTGCCAAAGGCTGGGATGATCCCCAAAGGGCTCCTGGTCCCTCCGAGGCCCCCATGGAGGGGGCTCAGAGCAGCTAAATTCACCTTGGGTGGAGATACCCACGCGGGTCCCCAGGGTGGGTGTTACCCCTGCAGACCCCCAGGTTGCCCAGCCTCCTGCACGGCCCCGGCTCTGCTCTCCCCTCCAGATGCCGAGAAGACCCCCGGCTACTGGAACAAAGGGGCCAGGAGGAGACTGGACCTGGCCCTGGCATTGCAGCCTGCAGCACGGCGGGCCAAAAACATCATCCTCTTCATGGGTGACGGTGAGTGCCCCAGGTCCTGGTCAGGCCCCGCGGCTCCATGGCTCCTCAGCAGCCAGGGGACATGGCTGGTGAGAAAATGGGGCTGGTGCAGGTCCCCTCCTCCCTGGCTGGCCCCGGGCAGTGCCTGGGGAGGGCAGGACTGTCCCTGTTCCTGGCACCTTGCCACCCCGTGGCTCTGCCGTGCCCACAGGCATGGGGCTGCCCACCATGTCGGCGGCTCGGATCTACAAGGGGCAGCTGGCCGGTGGCTCGGGCGAGGAGAGTGTCTTGGCCATGGAGAACTTTCCCCACGTGGCCCTGGCCAAGGTGAGCGGGGCAGCTCCGGGGGTGGGGGGGCAGCCCCGCTGCCCCTGCCCAAAGCCCCACCGGCCCCCACTTGCTTCCAGACCTACACCATCGACCGGCAGGTGCCAGACAGCGCTGGCACGGGCACAGCCTACCTCTGCGGGGTGAAGACCAACGCCAAGACACTGGGGCTGAGCGGGGCAGCCGTCTATGGCAAATGCCGCACCACCTTTGGCAATGAGGTGGACTCCATCCTGCACCGGGCCAGGCTGGCAGGTACGGGGCAGCGGGCAGCCCTGCCAGAGAGCCTGGCATGGCATGGCCACCTCATGCCGCGCGGGGCTCGCAGGTTCCCTGTAAACCCTTGCCCGCGCTGCAGGCAAGTCGGTGGGCATCGTGACGACCACGCGGGTGCAGCACGCGTCCCCCGGGGCAGCCTATGCCCACTCAGCCAGCCGGAGCTGGTACGCCGACGCCAACATGCCCAAGGAGGCGTTGCGGGATGGCTGCAAGGACATTGCCTACCAGCTGGTGCACAACACGGACATCAACGTGAGCCGGGGAGTGGGCGTGGGAGGGAGGGGACAGCGGGGACTTTGGGAGGGTCTGCTGAGCTCCCCGGCAGGTGATCCTGGGCGGCGGGCGGATGTACATGACCCCCAAGCGTACCCCGGACCCCGAGTACCCAGAGGACCCAGCTCAGAATGGCACCAGGAAGGATGGCCTTGACTTGATTGCTGAGTGGCTGAGTGCCAAGCAGGTACCGTGCCGGGGCGGAGGGGACGTGACGCCGGGCACGGGGCACATGCTGTTGGCACCGTCTCCGTTCTCGCTGGCAGGGCGCCCGCTACGTCTGGGACAAGAAGGGCCTGGACGCAGTCGAGGATGACTCCGTCAGCCATCTGATGGGTATGATCACCACCCGCACCACCGGCAACACCTCCTCCTCCCCACTCCGGGGGTGCTGGCAGAGGCACGAAGTGGCCCCAGCGTGGACCCCCGCCACATTCTGCCCCACCAGGCCTCTTCGAGCCACAGGACATGAAGTATGAGCTGAACCGCAACACCTCCACGGACCCCTCCATCGTGGAGATGACGGAAAAGGCCATTCGTATCCTGCGCAGGAACCCCAACGGCTTCTTCCTCTTCGTGGAAGATGAGTAGCCCCAGGCAGGCAGCATGGCTGGGGCTGGGGTGGGATGCGGGTCCTGGGAGCGGGTGGGGGTCCTCGGGGACCAGGGAAGAGGGTGACGGCCACATTCCCTGTGCAGGTGGCAGGATTGACCACGGCCACCACAGCGGCCGGGCCAAGCAGGCACTGATGGAGGCTGTCATGCTGGACCGGGCAGTGGCGCGGGCAGGCGAGCTCACCTCCCGCTCCGACACCTTGACCGTGGTGACGGCTGATCACTCCCACGTCTTCACCTTTGGGGGCAACACGCTGCGTGGCACCTCCATCTTTGGTGGGTGTCAGGGAGGGGGCGGCAAGCACCGCTGTTCCCACCTCCCCTTTTTGCTTCCACCAGAGGCTGAGCTGGGGAGAGGTACCTGGCTGGGACAGGGGGTGACAATATCCTTTCCAGGGCTGGCCCCCAAAAAAGCCAAGGACAAGCGAGCCTACACCAGCATCCTCTATGGCAACGGTCCTGGTTACAGCATCCGCGCCGGCGGCCGCCAGGCCGCCAGCCTCCCCGCTGCAGGTAGGAGTCAGGGATGGGATGGAGGTGCAGGGTGGCTGGGGGCAGTGTCCCACAGGCACTACCCCTGGGGCTGCAGGGGGTCCTGGTGCCACCGCCTTGCTCAGGAGCCACTTGGGCAGGAATCGCTCCAGGGCTGAGGTGATGGGAGCTGCACCCCCCCATCCCTGGGATGAGTAGGGGAGCCTGCTGCCCCCAACCCCATTTCTCCTGCCCCCCTCCCTGCAGAGGACAAAGACTACAGGCAGCAGGCAGCGGTGCCCCTGGAGACCGAGACCCACAGCGGGGAGGATGTGATGGTGCTGGCCCAGGGCCCCATGGCCCACCTCTTCCACGGGGTGCAGGAGCAGCATTATATCGCCCATGCCATGGCCTACGCCGCCTGCCTCGAGCCCTACGCCACTGAGCCTGGGTGCGGGTCAGCCCGCAGGGCCTCCCATGGCACCCAGTACTCTCCACAGCCCCTGCTCACCCTCCTGGCTCTCTGCGTGGCTGCTCATGTGGTGGGGGGCTGAAAGCCCCACTTCAACCCAGGCTTCCCAGCCCTCCCCGAGCCACCCCACTGAACATCTTGACAGCCGGGTCCCTGCTGTGGCCAAGATCAAAGGATGCAATAAAATATGGGTTGTTTTTCTCCATCTGCCATGTGAGATTTTGCAGCAGCAGTTGCCTCCTAAGGTTCTGCCCTGTGCTTCAGTTTCCCCAGGTGGTCATGGCTCCTAGTTCCCTGCCGGAACCAGCACTTGGGGGCATTGGGGTGATGGAAGAGACGAAATGAGGGTGAGGGGAGGCCATGTGCCCCCTCAGCTTTGCCAGGCTGGGGCACAGCACGCAAGGGTTGGTACTTCCCACCAAGGGCCGAGCAAGGAGCAGTTTTAGTCCATATCTGTAGGTATATTGCTCAAGAAAGTGCTGGGCAGAGAGCAGGGCTGCTCAGTGCACAAGTGACCCCAGGTGCTTCTGATACCCCTTTGCCCCAGGTCTGATGCTCCGCGTAGCCTGTGGCACCCGGGGCCAGGGCATCCCCCCGCCTGGCATCGCAGCACTGCAAGCCAGGCACTGCCCATCCTCTTGCCCTCTGCGTCTGTTTGCGCTCCAAGTCCGTCCATCCCCCAGCAGCAATAAGGTGATGTGCCAAGGAGGTGCCAGCAGCCCAGCCCCGTGGCCTTTGTGCCGGCAGGACACCAGGCTGACATGCCGAACCCCTCCACACACCCCTCAAGGGCCAAAGTCCCTCCCCAGATCTCCTAGAGTTGCAAACACTGCCAGCGGCACTGGGCTGCTGGATCTCACCATGCAGCTCCTGGCATCCCTCACCTTCTGCCTGGGCCTCTGGACAGGGCTCAGCACTGCTGCCATCCCAGGTGGGGACATGGGTGGGGATGGGTGCCTGGCTGCCTGCAGTGGGTGCCTGGAGAAGTGGGGTACCCCGCAGGGCACCAGCCTGGCTGGCCATGGGGAGGGTCTGGGGAGGGGAGCAGGGGCTGCCCAGCTCTGCAAGTCTTAATGGGGGTTACCGCTGCTTTTCTGGGGTCCTTGAGCCAGTTTTCCCCTGGGGGGGTCAGGTTCCTGATTGTTTCTGGGCTGGGGGAGATGTCTGGGGGAAGTGTCTGTAGCCTCCGCCCTCCCACCCTGCCCATCCCACCTGCCAGATAACTCATCATATCTGGTTTTGCTGTCCCCCCACCCTGCCCCTGCTCTTTCCCTGCCCCAGGACCCCTGGCCCAGGCAGTAGGTGCAAGCCTGCACGGTCTCCCTTCACCCCAAAGAGCACCCTGACCCTCTTGGTCCCTGTTAGAGGAGATCCCAGCATGGGGATGCCAGGGAGCGAGTGCCCCTGGGCTGCGGGTACCCCAGGGATGTGGGTGTCCCAGCGATGCGGGTGCTGGTGAGCTGGGACTGACGGGGGCTGATCCTGTCCCAGCAGAGGAGGAGAAGCCATCCTTCTGGAACAAGCAGGCGGCTACAGCCATCGAGGCCTCCTTCAAGATCCAGCCTAGGATAAGCCAAGCCAAAAACCTCATCCTGTTCCTCGGGGATGGTGAGTCCCACTGGCACCCACGGTGGCCACGCTGGCACGGCCAGTGCCCCGTGGAGTGGGATGCGGGGATGGCACCTGGTCCAGGCGGTGACAGGGACCCTTTCTCCTCGTCCAGGATTTGGGATCCCCACTATCACAGCCACCCGGATCCTAAAGGGGCAGCAGAAGGGAAAGCCGGGCCCTGAGACCCCCCTTGCCCTGGATGCTTTCCCCTATGTGGCTCTCGCCAAGGTAAATGCCTGCCATGCTGGGCGTGGGGGCAAGGTAACGCTGGGCACGGGGCCACGGTCATACCCCTGGGGCTGCTGACACAGAAGCAGCCCCAGGGATGCACATATGGGCTGCACAGGGTCCCTGCCCATCCCGCACTTGTCCTCAGGTGAGCAAATGAGTGTGGCAAGGGGTGCTGGAGAGGGGTGCACCCCACTGGGCGCCTCTGCCAACTGTCCCCTGCCCTGAGCCCGGCGTGTGTCCCTGGCAGACGTACAATGTGGACCGGCAGGTCCCCGACAGCGCGGGGACAGCCACAGCCTACCTCTGCGGGGTGAAGGGCAACTACCAGACGGTGGGAGTGAGCGCAGCCGCCCGCCACTCGCAGTGCAACACCACCAAAGGCAACGAGGTGGTCTCGGTGCTGGAGCGAGCCCGCAAAGCTGGTAATGGGGGGCACAGGGCTGGGGGGGTATCCCGTGGGGACAAGGGGTGTTACACGGAGGGGCTGCCCGCCACGAGCATCCGAGGGCTTGATGGTGGGGGACCCCGTGTCACCCTTTGTGGGGCCTGATGGGTGAGTTGGGGGGGGGGGGGGGGGCGTGGGGGTGTGACAGGAAAGGCGGTGGGCATCGTGACGACGACACGGGTGCAGCATGCGTCGCCCTCGGGGACCTACGCCCACGTGGTGAACCGCAACTGGTACGCGGATGCCAGCATGCCCGCGGACGCCCGCCTCCAGGGCTGCAAGGACATCGCCTGGCAGCTGGTCCACAACGTCGACATCAACGTAAGTGCATGGGAGGGGGAGAGCAGGGGCAGACACCCACCCCCCCACCCCAGGCACCCCTCCACTGACACTGCACCCGTCTCGTTTCCTCCAGGTGATCCTGGGGGGCGGTCGGAAATACATGACCCCCACAGGGACACCGGACCCTGAGTATCCCACCTACAACACGGAGAACGGGATGCGCGAGGATGGGAATAACCTCATCAATATGTGGCTGAAGGCACACCCGGTGGGTGGCACGGTGGGGACAGTCCTCTGCCCACCGCCCCCAGGCACGGGGCTGGGCACCCGCTAACCCTCTGTGGGATTTGTCCACAGGGTGCCCGCTACGTCTGGAACAGGACAGAGATGCTGGCTGCTGCCGCTGACCATAGTGTGAAATATTTGATGGGTAACAAATGTCCCGTGTGCTGGGACCCGACAGCCACCGGGACACATGCAGGCACTGAGACTGTCCCCAACGCGTCCCCTCCCAGGTCTCTTCGAACCCGCGGACATGAAGTACAACCTGGTACGTAATACCACCATGGACCCGTCGCTCACAGAGATGATGGAGGCGGCCATCACCATCCTGAGCAGGAACCCCAACGGCTTCTACCTCTTCGTGGAAGATAAGTCAGGGCTGGTGCCCCTGGGGTGGGCAAGAGGGGGGTCCCGGATCCCCGAGGTGGGGATAAGAGTTGGGGGTGCTGCCGTCGGTCCCCAGCCCACCACAGGCACCCGTCTGCAGGCGGCAGGATTGACCACGGCCACCACGACGGTGCCGCCCATAAGGCGCTGACGGAGGCGGTGGAGTTTGACCAGGCCATCGGGCGGGCAGGTGCCCTGACAGACGAGGCTCAGACCCTCACCGTCGTCACCGCCGACCACTCGCACGTCTTCTCCTTCGGTGGTTACACGCTGCGCGGCTCTTCCATCTTCGGTAGGGCTCTGCCCGGCCACCGAATACAGAATACAGCCCTGTTCTGGGTGCTGTCAGCTCTGGGGCACCCTGGCTGCAGCCAGAGGGGTGATACGGGGGTTTTTTAGCTGATCCCCCCCCATTCCATCACCTCCTCTGCAGGTCTGGCCCCCAGCAAAGCCGGTGACAAGAAGAACTACACATCCATCCTCTATGGGAACGGGCCGGGCTACCCGGGCACTGACCGGCCCGACGTGAACGATGACACAGCCAGTGAGGGCACAGGGACCATGGCCGGGTGGTGGGATGGGTCTGGGGGCCACCGCTGCCCCCTTCACCCCTTTCTCCCCCCTCCCCAGACCAGTTCAACTACTTGCAGCAGGCAGCCGTGCCCCTCGACTCGGAGACCCACGGCGGCGAGGACGTGGCCATCCTGGCCAAGGGCCCCATGGCCCACCTCTTCCACGGGGTGCAGGAGCAGACCTACGTGGCCCACGCCATGGCCTATGCCGCCTGCCTCGAACCCTACACCACCTGCCGCCAGCGGGGCTCTGCCCCCGGCACCCACGCCACCTCCCTGGCCCTGCTCCTGCCCACCCTCCTCCTGCCCCTCTTCCACTGACCCCACGGGCACTGCCGGGGACACACGTCCCCCTCTCCCCACAGCACCCGCAGGTGGATGGAGGCTTTTTGGGGGGGGGGGCATCTCTGGTCTGGATGTGGCAGCCGTGGGGCACCAAATCCTGGGCACAGGATGGGGCTGTACGCCACCCGCACAGCGTGTTCAGTGTTTAATAAACGTGGGGTGTGACAGACGTGTTGGCGGTGTGGGGGTGCCCGCGCTGTGCGGGCAGGGCTGGGGGTGCTGCCCGCTGCTGCCCACCCCACGGCCCCTTGCACCCGCCTGGCATATCCAGTGCTTTATTGACCAGAAACAGCAGCGAAAAATACAGCGGGTGTCCATGTCCCCACGCTCCCGGGGCAGGCTGGCAGCACCCAGCCCCGAGCTGTGCCAGCTGTGCCCACCCCCTGGCAGGGCTGACGCGGGGACAGGAAGGGGCTGGCATGGGGGATGCTGGGGAGGGCACCAGGCAGGGGGAGGATTTTGGTGTGGGGCAGCCCCACGCTGTCTCAGGTTCACTCTCCCTGGCTTAATCGGTGCTGGGATGGATGTGGTAGGGCTGGGTGAAGGGAAGGATTTGAGGTGGTGGACAGGAGAGGGGGTACACGGGTGCCTGGACGTGCCCTCATACCTCTGTGGGGACTCAGGACCCCACAGTGCATAGGGCAGGGGGTAAGAAAGGGGTGGGCAGGAGGCAGCTGCCTCTGGGCAGGAGCTCATGCCCACCCCAAGTGTCTCCCCCCTGCCTCCACCCCGCCGGCAGGTGCCTGCCTTTGGAGGGGGGGGTGACCCCCCTGTGTCACCCAGGGGTGCCCCTTTGCCTGGAGAGTAGGAGGGGGAGATGGGCAGAGGCATGGAGCAGGCACAGGATGGCACTTGGGCAGGGATGAGGATGGGGGGGGGGGGGGGGGGGGGGGGGCGGTGCCAGCCTGCCGGAGGGGTGGATTGGCCTCACCACACCGAGCACTTGTGCGCCGGGTTCATGGGCGAGTTCTTGGGGCAGTGGAAAACCCGTCCAAACTCCTCAAACTGCGACACGCTGCCCAGGACCCTGCCAAAAGAAGGGGGTGCAACTGAGAGCTGGACACCCTCCTGCTCCCCCCCTCCCCTCACCGCTGCCATGCACCCCATTTGGGGCACCTGCTCACCCCCTCCCCTGCCCCAGATCGCCCACTCAAAAGCTGCTGGTGCCAGCACCCCAAAGGGTCCTCACCCCGCTTTGCACGGCACCACCAGCTGTGGGGAAGTCTGGCACCCACTGTGCCCCCCCTATTTTGGGGCCAGCCGGTACCTGTAGTGCTCTGGGGCGTGCTTGTCCGTCAGCACCTGCAGGTAGATGGACTGGGACCGCCGCTTGATGCACCAGTTCTGCGGGGGAGAAAGGTTCCCATGGGTGAGCTGGATGGGGCACCCTGTGTCCCAGCACCCACTGGAGCCCGTAGGGTCCTGGAACCCACTGGGACACAACGGCCCTTCTGGCTGCTGGGGGACTAGGGCAGCGATGACCTGGTGGTGCTTGTAGGGTCTCCTGGGAGCCTGTGTTTGTGGTATAGACGGGTTAGGAGAGCATAGAGACATGTTTGTTATTGTAGGGTCTCCTGAGGTTGTGAGATGCCTAGCTGTAGGGTCTCCTAGAAGTTTAGGGTCATGTGCATTTGTTGCTGTGGGGTCTCTGGAGGTGATGGGCGGGACATGTTTGTTATTGTAGGGTTCCCCAGGAGCAGCAGGGTAGTGTGGGGTGCTCCTTGCAGGGCTGAGCCCCATACCCTGAGCCCAGAACCAGCTGGTGCAGCCAAGCCTGGCTCCTGGCCATGGGCACCAGGTCCCCCAGGGCTCTCTCCCCATCCTTTGGGGCCACCAGACCCACGCAGGGTGACACACACCCCGCCACACACACCCCACACACACCACCCCCCCGCCGTGCCCCGGTACGTGCCACACGTGGGGAGGGCAGGGGCTCACCTGGGCAAAGGCAATGAAGAAGAGCTGGTCATGTGTGTATTTCAGGTGGTGCAGAGGGTGCTCGGGGCCGTGCTCCCGCACCCACTTCTGGTAGGCCTGGAGAACAAGGGGTGCCCTCAGCATGGCCTGGGCACACCCCCAAACCCACCCCAAATCCCCCAGCAACCAGCAAGCAGGATCATACCCACTGCCCGCTTCAGGGATCAACGTGGGTCCAGGGGGGGTTGGTCTCAGCAGTTGCCCCATGGCCCTGCCAGGGCCATGATACCCCAGGGTAGGGGGACACTTACATAGTAGGCAAGTTTGAGCCCCCCCATGTCAGCAATGTTCTCCCCCAGCGTGTGTTTGCCGTTGACCTGCCAAGAGAGGAGAGACAGTGGGGTGAGCAGAGATGCCCCCCCTAGACAGATATGCACCCCATGCCCACCCTGGCACCGAGGCCGTGCCTCAGTTGCCCCCACCCAGTGCCCTGAGGAATTTCCCAGCTGAGGTGTGATGAGTTGTTGGATCTCAGGGCTGGTCCAGGCAGAGCCATGCTCTCCTGCAGGTCCCCAGCCCCAGTGACAGAGCAGCGGGGAACCTCCCCCCCCCCCTTGCCCCGGGGGCAGTGTGTGACACAGCATTGCCCGGAGGGCGAGGAGGGAGGGGGGGGGTCCCACCCGCTGGTTGTAGACAGTGAAGTTGTCGTAGAGGTTGACGATACACTGCGCCTTCTTCAGGAACTTGCTGTACGACCGCTCTGTCCACCAGTGCACCAGGTTCCCGTGCCGGTCGTACTGTCCCCCTGCAGAGGCAACCGCCACCACCAGTAGCCCCAAGGGACCCGAGCGTCCTGCCTGGCTGCCCCCAGCCCACCCATCTCCCACCCTGGCATGAGGCTGGGGCGGGGGGATGTCGCTCACCCCAGTCATCATAGCCGTGGGTCAGCTCGTGTCCGATGATGGTGCCAATCCCGCCATAATTCAGAGACCTGTTGGGTGGGGAGCAGAGGTGAGAGGGCGGAGGGAACTGTACTGGCAGGGATGGCGGTGGCCCCAGGATCTGGCACCCCCATACCCTGCCCTGGCACCCCCATGGCCATGCCCCAGCCCCACACTCACTGCGGGAACTCGGGGTCGTAGAGGGTGGGCTGCAGGATGCCAGCGGGGAACACTGGGGACACAGGAGAGCGTTGCAGTTGTAGGGGGGACACCCTGCCCTGTACCCACCCACAGCATCACCCGGCGTCAGGGGATCCTGCGCCGTGCCCCCCCACCTCAGGCCCTCCCCACACCCCGTCGCCTCGGGGAACTGGGCAATGCCTCACCCATCTGGTTCTTGTTGGGCAGGTAGTAGGCGTTCAGCGCCTGGGGAGGCAGCAGCCACCTACAAGGAGAGACAGCAGTGCCAGGCTGCGGGGGCAGCGGGGGGGGCATGGAAATGCCACACCTCTTCCACAGCTGGGGGGACAGGGGGGCATTCCTGGCTTGCCCTGTGCCCTCCTGCCTACACCCTGTAGGGTGCAACGGGGCACGGGGACAGGAGGCATTGGTGGGCCATGCTGTGCCCCCCCATGCCACCCCCAGGGCAGGGAGATACCCACGCAGACTTGTCCACCTCCTGCCGGATCTTCTTCACCGAGAGCCTGATGCTGAAGGCGATGCTGTTGAGGATGTTCTTGAAGTAGGTCTTCTCATCCACCTCGAACTGGGGGGGCACAGCCACGTCAGGGGGAATGCCAACCCCAAATGCCAGCCCCAAGAGTGTGGGGAGAAGGGATGGGGTGTCCTCCCACCCCCCAGAGCCTTGGGGACAGAGGGTGCGGGGTTGTGGCTGTGGGCTGGATGTGGCACGAGCATGTCCTCGTGTCCCATGCTGTGTGCCCACATGGGCAGCTGCATCTCCATCACCTCCATGGGGTCCCCCCTGCTGCTGGCACACCCAGCCCTTGCTGAGGATGATGCTGAGCTCTGGAAAGTGCAATATGGGGAAGGAGACGTCACTCCAGACCCCGGGGAAAATATATGGCACTGCCCACCTGGCTGTGGCCATGTGAGTGGTGGGCACAATGAACTACCAGGAGGTGGCTTGTTTTGGGGTGGCATCTCCCCATTCTGGTCTCTGCAGACCCTGAGGCAGATGTGGGGGACATCTCCCCCCTCCATGACCCCATGCCCCCATGTGACCCCGGGCCACCCCTTGCCTCATACTCCTTGTCGATGGCCTCTGGCTTCAGCAGGAAATCGGGGTACCCAATCATCACCATCATGTACCGGAGCTGCAGGCAAAGCGAGTGGTGGGGTCAGGCCCCCCATCCCATGTGCCCCCCCGGGACGTGGTGAGGGCAAGGGCAGGGGTCCATGCTGGGGGCCGCTACCTTGGCCCTGGCGGCTCTCCGTGTCTCCTCATCCATCCAGTCCAGCTCATCCAGGCGCTGGTCCAGGATGTATTTGATGTCCTCCACCAGCTGCTGCACCTATGGTGGGTCACCACGGGCACTGGCACGGTGTCCTCACCACCCATCACTCCACCAGACGGCCCTCAGTGGGGTGCTGGGTGGCGGTAGGCACCTTGGCAAGGTGACAGGAGGGACGCAGTGACTTCATGCCCACAGGCAGCATCACCTACCTTGGCTTTGCTGGTGGAGGAGAAGTGCTCCTCGACGAAGAGGGCGCCCAGGGCCATGCCGAAATGCTTGTTGGCCTGGCTCAGGCAGATCTTGCCCAGTTCGAGCTGCTTCTCATTGCCCTCCATCTCCTTGGAGAGCTCGTGGATGGCGTCGCGGAAGGGGGTGGAGAGGTGCTCACTCAGCACCACCACGATGCGCCACAGCATGTAGTTGTGAAGGATCCTGGGGACAGGGGACAAGCTCAGGCCCCCCGCACGGGGCACATCCCCAGGCACATGGGGAGGGTGGGGAGCATGCTCCAGGGAGGGGGACACTCCTGCTCAGGGACCAGGCAGGCCATGGGGGTGGCCATGGCCTGTGGGGGCACAGGGACAGGCTGGCACCATGTCCCTCCCTGCTGTGCGATGAGACTGGCGACCTCCAGCATGGAGGGGCTCGGCGGGCGGCCAGGCATGACCGGGATGCTGCGGGGCTCATGACCGTGCCTTCTCCCAGAAGCTTTTCTGGGGTCCTCATGCCCAGCCTGAATTCCTCAGGATTGGGGTATTGTGGGGGGGCGGGGAGCCAGCCACAGCCGCCCTGTGCCCACCCTCATTGCCAGCCCCCTGCCAGGCTGGGGAAGATGCTGGGGGGCACAGGGGGTGCCAGCCCCCCTCACCTGCTGGGCGTCACACGGATGAGGTCAGACACCTTGTGCATGTAGTCAGTGGCCAGCAGCACCACCTCCTCCTCCTCCGAGAAGTTGTCGTGGAAGATGCGGTCCAGCAAGCGCTTCCACTTGAGCTGCCAGGGCAGACACAATCAGGGGGGCACAGGGACCCCCTCTCTGTGCTGTCCTGGAGGGAATTCCCTCCAGGCTTTACAGCTTCCCACCACCCCTTCCCACCCAGAAAAGTGTAGGGTGGATTCATCGTCCTCAAGTGGACTTTACTGAGGGGGGGGGCAGCAAGGGCATGGCGCAGGGGGCAGGGACAAGTGTGGGGCACAGGGCAGATGGGGGATGTGGGGTGGCAGGCTGGGCACCGGGGGTACTCACCGTGGGGGTGATGCGCTGCAGCTCGCCCAGGGTCACTTTGTGGTACATGCTGCTGACGTCCCTCCGCACGTCATCGTACTCGGACACCGTGATCTGCACAGGGTGGGCACGGCTGTCACCATCCCACTGCCCGTCTTGGGGGTGGCACAGGGATGGGGAAAGAGGGGTTACTGACCCACAACCCTCCCAGCTCCCTGCCCTGGGAACCCTCTGCTGCCAGTGGGGCCCTGAGGGCTGGTCATGGAGTTGGGGTACCCAAGGGCTGGGCACCAGGGTCCCCCTAGAGCTGACTGGAGTCCCCAAAAGCTGGGCATGTATTTCTCAAGGGTCTGGAGTCCACAAAGACTGGACAGGGGGGTCCCCAGGGTCTGGAGTGGTTGTCCCAAGGGCTAGGACTGGGGGTTCTCAAGATGTCAGGTCTGGGGTCCCTGAGAATCTGCCACAGGGTCCTCAAGGGGCTGGGATCCCCCAGGGCCAGGCATGAAGGTCCCCAAGGGCTGGGCAGGGAGGGTTCCTAAGGGGATTGGGATGGGGTCCCTTAGGACCAGGCATGGAGGTCCCCAAAGATCTGCAACTGGGGTGCCCAAGGGCTGGGCAGGGGCACCCCAAAGCCAGGGTGGGCATCCCCCTCACATTGGCGAGGTGCTGCTCCAGCTGCAGGATCTCCTGGGCCTTCTGCTCCACGTGTTCGGCCCCCAGGAGGGTGAGCAGCCGCTCCATGAACACCCGGTACGCAGCCAGGATCTGTGCCGAGGGAAGGGACACTGAGTGCCACCCTGCACTGCCCTGCAGGCACCCCAGCCCCTGGCACTGCTGGCAGTGGGGTGCCCGCTGTCTGCCACCCCACGCTGGGTCCTGGTCTCTCTCCTGGTGTCCTTGTGACATCAGTGGGACACCCCCCACCCCCCTCCCACCTCACCTTCTCGCTCTCCTCATCCTGTCCCAGGTAGAGGGTCCGTTCAGGCAGAGTCAGCCCATCCTGGTCAATCTGGGGGGAGAGACAGGGGCAGCGGGTGAGCAGAGGGAGTGTGGGGGGGGCTGTGCTGGGAAAGGCACATCTCACCTTCCCCCATATTGCAAGATCCCCCTGGTCCCCGGGAGCCATAGGGTCAGTCCTGGGCATGGGAAGGTCCCATGTCTCAGTTTCCCTCCTGCTAGAGGGTGCTGGAGCTGCGGTGGGCAGCATGCAATGGGCTGGGAGAGCTGGGCAGAGGGCAGGCCCCTGCCCCATGGCCTGACTGCTGCCTGGCACACAGACTGCCCCATAATCTGCCCTGCGCTGACACTACACTCTGCCCCACAGTGGCCCCACGGCTGCCCCACAGCTGGCCCCGCTCCTGTGCTGCAACCTGCCCCATGGAGAGTCGCAGGGTTGAGCCACATCGCATGGACACCCCCAGCTTTACAGACACAACCCCCCCAACACCCACACCCCCTGCTATCCCCAGCCACAGCCTCTAACACATACACACGTGTGAACACGCTTGCACGTTTGTGTACACACCCACACATCTGTAACGCACCCCTTTTGACACACATCTATGCATGCTCACCCCCCCACACACCCCTACGCATGCACCATCTTATTTACTCTCTCTCTTTGCACACACACACACACACACACACCCCCTCGCATTTTCTCTCTGGCTCACCCCCCCCCGTGTCCCACCCCACCAGCTCCCCTCCATGCGCACAGCCCCAGCACTGCCCCACACACCCACAGCCCCCCCACAGCCTTTCTCCATCTCCTCCCCCATCACCCCCACCCCTTTGATTTCCCACAAAGGCACTGTCACACGGACAGCCCTCACACACACCCACACCCACACCCCACACCCCCCCATCACCCTCGCACCCACCGCACACCCGCCCCCAATCACACCCGGACACACACGACCAACCAAACCCTGACACTCACCCTTGGGGGGGGGGGGGGGGTGTCACACCCCTCTCCCTCCCACGCCCACCCCGGCACACCCCGCGCACACCTGCACCCTCCCGCTCAGCCCCGCCACCCACCCGCCCTTTCCCTGTGACACACGCTCCCTCTAGTGTACGTACACACGCGTGGCCCGTCGGCACGGCCCTGCTCCTCCCTGGCTCCTCACACTCACCCGCCCACTCACGCTCAACTCCCACCCCCCCCGCACACCCACCTCCCGGCCCCACGGCCTCACAGGGAATGGGGCAGCTCATCCCAGCCACTGTGTCCCCTTCCCAGTGCTCCCACCATCTCCAACACTTCGTCCCCACCATGCCATCACCATTCCCACCCCCCCCTCCCCATGCTCAACATGTCCCTGCTGTGCCCACCGCCATGCCCACCACCGCGTCCCCACCCTGCCACTCCCGTGTCCCCGCTGCTGTGCCATCCCCCATGCCCATCACTGTGCCCACCATGACGTCCCCACCGTGCCATCGCTGTGCCCCGCATGGTGCCCACCACCGCACTCCCACACCCACCAAGGGTGCTTGAGGCTTGGCCACCCAGACAAAGCCCACCCACGCCCCGGTGGCATCACAAACCGAGGGATGCAGGCTGGCAGGGGTGGGGAAGGCTGACAAAGCCATGGGCAACTGCCCTGGGCACCCTGGCCCGGTGCTGTGGGGCCAGCGGACGTCCCCCTGTCACCTCCTAGGGTTTGGCCCCTCCGTGCAGATGGCAACCAGGAGGCCAAGGTGAGGGGCTTGGCCGCTGGCACTCTGGAGACCCTGGTGCCCTGTGGGGCTGCCCCAGCACCCAAGTGGGCAGCACTGCCTCATGCTGTATGTCCCCCTGACCATGTCCTCCCCCCTGACCATGTCCCCCTGACCATGTCCCCCCGCCTGCATCCTCCCCCCATCCTAGAGGTGCCACCCTCACCCTGGGGCAGCCTCACACGGGGGTCCCACCATGGGGAGATGGGGGGTGGGGGGGGGGTCCCCAAGGACATGGGCTGTCCCCAGCCCGGCCGCCTGCTGCAGCCAAACCCACACACGGGGCAGGCACCCAGTGCCACTGCGACAGGGACGGTGTCACCAAGGGGGTGTCACCGGCACAGCTGGGTGGTGGGGGGGGACAGCCCCAGGGACAGGGTGCCCTCACCCGGATGACGTAGCGGGAGGTGTTCCTCTCGTCCAGGCTGACGGTGAGAGAGAAGAGCACGGCAGCGCTGTAGACCCCCTGCGTCTTGTAGAGCAGCTCGTTGAGGTCCCCGCGGCCCGGGGGGGCATCCCAGCCGCCACACTCCCCGATGACCTCCAGCATGGGCCGTGGGCCCAGCCGGTCAATCTCAGCCCGGTCCAGGCACGAGCGGAAAAACTCCTTGACCTTCCTCTCAGCCGAGGCGGGGGCTCGGCGCCGCACGGGGCGGCTCAGCAGCGCCCGCAGCTTGGCCTCGTTCTGCTCGGCGATGGCCCCGATGGTGCCGTACACCAGCTTGTCCTCGGGAATGCCGTGCCGCCGGAGCCAGCCGCCGCAGGCGAAGGAGTAGAAGTCCTGGCAGGGATCGATGGTGGCATCCATGTTGGCGCTGAGGAAGCGGGACGCCCGCAGGAAGGCCTTCTTCTCCTGGCACCCCTCCAGGCAGTAGCTGTCCCCTTCAGCCGCCAGGTACTTGAGGACCAACATGCACGTCAAGATGACACAGAGCCCCGCGGCGAACACCAGCCCCGAGAGCAGGCAGACCTCCCGGCGGCTCCAGCGCGGCAGCCCCCCGCGGCGTTTCTTGGCCCCGGTGCCCAGCTGGAGGGCGAAGCCGTTGGGCAGGGTGCCGCTCTGGTACTTGCTCACGTACTTCACCTCCTGAAACTCGTCGTAGTGGGCCGTCAATGAGTAGGTCTTCTCCATGGCTGGGGATGGGGCTCCCCCGCAGGCAGTGCGGGTGCAGGGGGGGCTCAGGGAAGGCGGGGGGCAGGCTCGGGCACCCCACGACTCATGCTGGAGCTGTGCCCACTGTGGGAGATGGTGGAGGGTGCCTGGGTGAGGCGGGAAGCTCCTGGAAAAGGCAGAGGAGGTGGTTGAGGGGGGTTTGGGGAGGAGCAAGGAGAAGGAGGGGGGGGGGGGGGGTTGCTTCTTGGCGTCATCGCTGCCTGCATCGCCATCCCTGCCTGTGTGCCCCGCTGGTGGCACTGGGACTGGTCCTGGTGCCAGGAGCTCGGTGGCAGCTCTACCCCATGGCTGTCCCCTCGGCCAGCCCCTCTGGTGACACGGCAGGGTCCTGCCTGCATGATCCCAGGCAGGTTTCAGCCCCTGGCACAGCTCCATCCCACACCCACCCAGCACACCCGCGAGAACACCCACGCCGGGTGGGCGTCTGGGGTGGTCCAGCGAGCCCATCCTCACCCCACCCTGTGAGAGCCCTTCCCAGCCTGGGGGGGGGGGGGGGGGCACACAGGGCTGTGGGTCCCTCTTAGTGGGGTATGGAAGGGTGAGCAACTTGGGGAAGAGGGGCTTTGGGGAGATTTTGGTGGGGGGGAGGCGTTGGGTTGGGGTGTTGCGGGTTGAGTCAGGTTGTGTGGCCCTGCGTCAGGTTGCATCGCGTTGCGCTGTGGTGTGTGGCGTGTCGTTGTGTTGGGTTGGGTCGTGGTGCGCGGTGTTGCATTGCGTTGTGGCAAATTGTGGTGCGGTGCGTGATGTGTGCGTGAAGTTAATTCCAGTCTGGGGCGGGGGGGGGAAACCCTGGACCCTATGGACTTCTCAGAGCATTTTTCCCCCCGCGACAGCCACCATTCACCCAATCCCTCTCTGCTGACTGGTGCCTGATGGGCAGGGGTCTCTGGCAGGGGTGTCATGCCGGGAAGGAGGGGGTCTGTCCATGAGAAAAGGAGGGTGGAGGCATAGATGGGTTGGCTGGGGGGGGGACACACTCCAAAAGGGGAGCCCCAAGCTTGCTCTGTGCAGAACGTCATCTGGATTTGCAGGTGGGCAAGGACAGGCTGGGGACAAAGAGCCGCTTGGGAGGTGGCCGGTATCCCCGCAGCGGCCCCCCCCCCCCCGCCAATCTCCTCAGCCCCCGTTCCCTCTGCAACTTGGGCAAAGTTGTGCCCCGGCGCCGCAGCCCGGCGGTGCCCGTGCCGGGGAGCTGCCGCCGCCGGAAAGTTTGCGGGGCTGGCAGCAGGCACGGCGCGGCGCGGGGGGAGACAGGGGGGGCTGCCCGGGGTGCTCGGAGGATGCTACTCGGGATGCTGCCCAGGATGCTCGAGGGCGCCCGGGGGACGCTGCCCAGGATTCACGGGGGATTCTGCTCGGGATGCGCGGAGGATGCTGCCCAGGATGCTCGGGAGATGATTGCCGGGATGCTCGGGAGGTGCTCGGGAGGTGCTCGCCGGGATGGTGCCTATGGTGCTCGGGGGGATGCTCGAGGGTTGCTCGAGGGATGTTCGGGAAGTGCTTCCCGGGATGATGCCCGGGATATTCGGGGGGTGCTCGCCGGCAGGCTCGGGGGGGGTGCTCCCCGGGCTGCTCGGCGCGGGTGCTCACCGAGGTACTCGGGGGGATGCCCGGGGGATGTTCCCCGGGATAATGCCGGGGATGTCCGCGGGTGCTCGGGGTCGCTCACCGCTTGCTCACCGAGACACTTGGGGGATGCTCCCGGGATGCTCGGGGGACGCTGCCCGGGATGCTCGGGGATGCTGCCCGGGATGCTCGGGGATGCTGCCCGGGATGCTCGGGGGGGTGCTCGGGGGTGCTCACCGGCTTGCTCGGGGGATGTCAGCAGGCTGCCCGGGGCTGCTGGCGGGCCGGCCCGGCGCTGCCCGTCCGGCTGCGCGCCCCGCGCTCCGCTCCGCGCCCCGCGCCGCGGCTGGCGGAGCGGCGGGGCCGGAGGGAGGCAGCGGGGCGGGGAGGGGGTGGTGTCTCCAGCCCGGCTCTCCCGCAGGCCAGGCTCCATTAACGAGATTATTATGCAAATGGAGCAGCCCTGTGCCACCCGCCAGCCTTACCTCATCATCCCCGCCGGCGGGGAGGCAGGGCAGGGGGGCTCCCCGGGCCCCCCGCCCCGGGGGGCTGGCACAGGGCTGGCAGTGCCACTCTGCCTGGCATCCCCCGTCCGGGGACCCTGCTGCCATCCCCCGGCAGCCCGGCATCCAAGACGGGCACGGGTGGGCACGGCCCCTGTCCTGTGCCAGGAGCATCCTGGAGCCTCGGTGACACCCCCCCCCCCCCCCCCCCGCACCGTGCCCAAGCACTCTGGGGGGCCCGTCCAGTCCTGCCAGGGTGGGTGCAAGGGGAAAGGGCCATGGGTGGGCAGGAGCTGGAGCCCGAGAAGCTCTGGCTGAGAGGGTGGGCACGGGGGGTAGCACGGAGTGGCATGGGGAGGGGGCCATGCACTCACACACACACACGCACACACGCGAAGGTCCAGGAATATTAAACTGCATTGCAGATAAATCCCCAACATAAATATCGTGAGCCGCTCTGCCACGGGGGGGCCCAGCAAGGCGATTTATAGCCCAGCAATTCCCACCGCCCGCGGCGGCCCCCTGCAGCAGCCGTGTACCCCAGCCCTGCGCCACCATCCTGCCTGCCATGCTCAGGGTGCCCTGCCACCCTCACCCCCACACTGTGCCTGCACAGCTCTGGGTGCTCGGAGGGGGGCACTGAGTCTTCTTGGGTGCTGGGGTGGGAGCCCCAGGCAGCCCATACTGGGTGCTGTGCTACACACGGCACGGGGACCCTGTGTGGCATGGGATGGGTGGCTCAGCTAGCATGGGACCCACTGTGTCATCCCGTGGGCACCGTCAGGAACAGCGCTCACTGCCTGGGGTGGCTGAGGCTGTGCTCTCCTGCGCTGGGGTGCCGGGGTGCTGGGCACGGCCCGGGCAAGGTGCCTACTGCAGCACCGAGATGTGCAACAGCACACGCACGTGTAGCAGCACGCGTGTACATCACATGTGCACCCATGCTCACTGCACCGGGACAGACACACACATGCTGTGCCTCCACACACACACACACTCAAACATAAACATGCACCGCCGTCCACCTCCCGCTACAGGCACAGGTACCCTGGCACACACGCAAACACACCCCCCCACACTCACACACCCCACACATACACACACCTGGGGCACACACCAGGGCAAAGGGCCTCCGTGAATCCCACCAGAGAGACACCCCCCAGCTTGGGCACCCCAGCCAGCCAGGCACCACCAACCCAGTGGCGTGCAAGCGCACCCAGCCCCAGGCTGCTTCGTGGGTGGGCACGGGGTGCCCAACCCTGTCTCTCAGTGGAGAGACTGGCCAGAGGGTGGGGGGCATGGGGCTGGGTGCCATGCACTGGCCTCCCCATGCCTGCGCTTAGCCAGCCCCGAGTCCCGCTTGGCACCTTGGTGGGAGCATGATGGATGCGCACGGGAAGTGGGGGCTGGTGTTATTAACAGCCCTGGGTATTGCTCCAACAGGGCTGTAAAAATTAAAGGCGTGTGGATATAAAATAATGGATAAATCTGAGCCGGCCGCAGAGCGCTGCGGCGTCCCGCAGGAGTTGGCATCTTGAGAAGCTGGGGTACAGCAGGCGCAAGATGAGCACCTGTGTGTAGATATGGGGTGCCAGGCAGTGCCCTGCACCCACTTCTGAGTGCCAGCTCCCCCTAAAAGTCTCCACCGAGTGCCCTGAGAGGATGTGCAGGCAGTGCCAACCTGCAGAGCTGGCACTACAAGGCAAGCGGCTGCTCCAGAAGCTGGGATGGAAGGAAAAGAGGTTGTGCCTTTGCAGACAGGGCTGGGGGTGCAGGGCACTTGCTCCGGGATGCCCACAAGCACTGCCCAGCCCACGCACCCCCAAGCAGGCAGGATCTGTGCCATGGTGCCAGTATACCTGGGTATCACCAGGTTGGTATGACCCCAGGGTCCTGCCCATCCTACGGCCCACTGCTCCCACCCCGAGCAGGGCCTGGGGCAGCACCTGGCTTGCCAGCCCCACTCCACCCTGCCCGTCCCGTGGGCCACCCCGCCAGCGTCCTCATTTTCCCCGAGATTAGCTGCGGCGCGGGAGCCTCCGCGCACCGCCAGCAGGTGACAAATAAGATTTTTCCACTCTCCCGAGCACCCGGCATGGGTCTGTCATTGAAAATGCAAAGCAGCGCGGTGCCAACCTCCACCACCCGCCCTCCCCTCCACCAGCCCCTCAGTGCCAAGCACCCTGCCAGATGAACAACCCCCCACACCCCCATCACATCTAGACCCCTCTACTAGACCCTCTGCTCCCCCTCGGCAGTGCTGGGGTGCTGGGCATGGTGCCCTCGTGCCCAGTGGGACAGGATCCTGGGGAGGGCGGTTCTTAGAGGGATGCTAGTTTGGGGGTGTCAACCTGGGTGGGCAGAATGGCCTCGCAGTGTCCTTCGGGTGCACCCTACATGGCACTGCAGGTAGGGGAGAAGGGCAGGGGGGTGCACGGGGATCCCCACCACATTGGGTATGTGCACCCCACCACAGCCTGCCTGCCTGCCCCCAGGGAGGGTGCCAGGCTCTGGGGTGAGCACACGGCAGGCTCACCCCAGGAGCACGGGGTGAGGGATTGTCCCTAGCAGGAAACACTTGGCCCAAGATGTGCCCGCTGAGGTGGGCATCACCCCACAAACCCCAATCCAAGGGACTCCATCCCCAGCACCCCATGGCAGGAGGAATGGGAGCACTCCACACCACAGCTGGGCACATTCACCCCAGCACCCACAACCCTCACCCAAGGACCCAACCCTCCCAAACCCCTCAGCCCCCCCAAACCCCTTGGTCCCCTCCAGCTCCAACCCTGGCATCCCATTACCTGCCACATCCCCTGCCCAGAGTCAGGCACCTCCCCAGCAGCCCCCAACCCCGCTCCCCCCCCACCGCCGCCACGTCTCCCCTCCGCTATTGTCAGAGGGTTGCCTCTGCCTCTGTCTGCGAAATTAATTCGGAGGTGGAGAGGGAGAATTATGTAAAGTGTGGTTATTCTGGAGCGGCGGGGGAAGCGCGGCTGATGGCAAAGTGCCTTTTTGTGTGTTTAATATGCATTTTTTTCCAGCGGTGCATTTTCAGGCGGGTAATTTGCTGTCTTTTCAGACCCCGATCAGTATCATTTCTCTGGCAATGACAGCTTTTATTTGCACTGAAATGAATGCTGCGAAATTTCCAAGAAATAGCCAAGGCCCCGTTGGCTGCCCACCCCCACAGGGCTGGGGCATAGGCACCCACCGACGCCTGCCCCCCACAGTCCCCATGGCTAGCCCTGGCCCCCCCACAGCCCTTTGGCCGGCCCTTGCCCACGGCCCCACACAGCAGCATTCCCCAGGGGTGTTGGGCACTCGCGTGTGCCAGTTTGCACACACCCTGTGTTCACAGGCGTGTGCACTCCCCTGGCTTCCCTGCCCCGACCTTGAGCCCTGTGTGCACATCGGCACACCACACCCGAGGGGGGTGTATATACATCCCAATGCACGTGCACATATAGACACCCCTTGTGCATCTGCAAACACCCCCTTGTGCATGTCTGCACCTCTCCCACAACAACACCCCCCCTTCTGTACACACACACACTCCTAATCCATGAATATCCCCCCTTAACTCATACACCCCCCCCCTCCCCGTGCATACATGTTCCTCCTTGTGTGCTGAAGGTTAGGAGGGGGCACTTTGTATCCCCCTCCAGCCCTTGGCACAGCACCCTTGACTCAGTCCACCAGGCTGCCGGGAGGGTTTGGGGGTCCCCCATGCAACCCTCTCTCTTTCCGGCACAACCCAGCCCTTGGGGAAACCGAGGCACAAAGAGGGCAGGCACAGATGGGTGCTCTCCCCCCAGCCCATCACCTCCCCAGGCACGGCTGAGAGCCTAGAGAAGACGCGGGGTGGGTGTCTGTCTGCGTGTCTGTACGCTAGGCGGGAGGAGGAAATGCTGTTTGCGTAGGTGTGTGCCGCGTGGGTGTTGCACACCGGAGCTGCCGTGCCGGCGTGCCACACTGCCTTCGCAGCGGCCGTGCACGCTGCGTGTGCACAGCCCGGTGTGCACACTGCGCGCCCGTGTCAGCTCCCTGCCCCCGTCCTGGCGTGCGTGACAGCCTGTCTGCAAGGGTGGCACGGGCACGCGTGGCCCTGCGATGCCGTAGGGGCACCTCTGGCTGGGACAGTGGCCCCGGGTGTGCCACACAGTGTGTGTGCAGCTGGGTGTGCTCCTCCCGGGGTGCCCAGGGGTGATGGATGGTGTTGGGGGGTGCCCATGTATGTGCAGTGCTCCATCCCCCTACAACACCATGGCGGGGCTGTACACCCCCAGCTCTGGGTCCTGTACACCCCCAGCCCCGGGTCCCCAGCTGCAGTGGAGCTGGTGCCTGGCACGGCCAAGGTTAACTCTGCTGGAGCCCATCGGCACAGTGCAGGGAAGCTTTAATTTAATGAAGTGTGAGGCTTTTTATGGGCTTTTAATTACGTGGTGATAATTAACATTATAGGCCGCCAGGTCCCGCTGGTGCCCGGCTGCCCTGTGCCAGCTCCCGCCTGTTTGTAAATAAACCCCGTGGGCGGCACAGTGACCACCCTGGGGCACCCACCTCCCGCAGCAGGGACCACAGCCAGCCCCAGGCCCTTGCCCACGCACCGGGGTGGGGATTTGGGCACAAATTTGAGCACAACCCGCTGCAAAATGTAGGGAGCAAAGGGCCCCCCCATTCCCCCCACCTCTGAGCAGCACCCAGCTACCTGGGTTTTTCCAGCCCTCTGGCCAAGCTGAGTTGCCAGCTGGAAGTGCCAGGCTTGGCAAGAGGGGCCACAGGCAGCAGTGCCACAGTAGTCCCC